TCTTCGCCATTGATCACGGTTTGGACTGGAGTCCAGTCCACAGCGTAACCATGTTTTAGACAGAGAGGATGAAGGGAAATTGCCTGTTCTTGGTAAATCTCCAGACAGTCATTAACACACTACAACTTATATTACCTATACTCTTTACTAAGTATTTTTTAGTGCTGTGAGTCATATCTCAATTATGGATTTAACTTCTAATTCTCCTCGTTGATACAGGATGCTCATGATCAGTGCTGAATTTTTTTCTATTATGCTATTATAATTATCTTCATAATCTAGGCTAAAATTAAAATTATTAGTTTCTTCTCTTGCTTTTACTTTTAAACATGATTTTGGGGACATTAGCTACTTTTCCAGCCCTTCTGACGATCTGACAATAAGACACCGTCTGTTTGTGTCATGCTTGTGTATTTCACCATACTTGAGAATTGTTTTTCACTGAAATGGGAAGACTGCTATATATCTTGTATATTTTATGCACCAGCTGTACTGTATATGTGTGATGTCCACATGCTTTGAATACATAAATGTTTGCTTAAAAACCATGTATTCATGGTGCCAATTTAGTGATATTTCAGAAACCAGTGATCCAGCAGTATTGACAGTGAATCACATGTCCTAATCACATGTCCTAATTTCACATTGAGTACCACATGCATACACCTGTATAGTGAGCATCTTGTGAATTGGTCAGTTCAATTTGAGTGATGCATGACTTTACAGGTTGTATTTTCTAATGGTCTCAGTTCTATTTTTCCTTTCCCCTGCTGGACATAAATATATAGCTAATGGAACAGAACAGTGCAGAACTCCTTCTGTTCAACTTTTGTTGAACATATTAAAACGTAATGAAAAAATATGAAATAGTGAAAAAAATCATTGTATTGTGTACTGTATTTTTATTATATATCTTCTTTTTTAAAAAATGTATCATCAGAAAGATATATTGTAAATACATGTATATAATGTAAATACACATTTATGAGGGATGTTTTAGAGGTAATCAGTTTCTTCCCAGAACAGATTGTGTTAGATCATTTACAAATGAAATTTTTAATTCTTGCATCCAGGTCTCATCCAGATTTTTCCTCAGTTGCTTTATTATAGAGCCTATAGCGTGAAATGTTGTGGGAGACAGTTTTCTTTGAATGCTTCAAACCACATTTTAATGGCCTATAATAAAGTCCGTTCATCCTCAGTACTTCCTTTAAGCAGCATGTGCCACCCTTTTAAATCAGAGCCGTGAGGCGTGAACCTGTCCTGGCCATCAAAGCAAAACATCCTCTGAAGGATATTTAATGGTCTTCAAGACAGGCACATTCGTAACACCATGACATTTCTGGCATAAATGACTTTGCGGCTGGCTTAGTAAAACACCGGAGTCTAATCAAATACTCCCAGAGTCAGCACCTTAGGGCTCTAGCCGTCCTAACAGACACCTTCTATGGACTTCTGCCAGTCACAGGCTGGGTCACTTAGTGGTTAAGGAATTGTGCTTAAACGTCAAAAACGATTGAAAAATTGAGAAGATTGTGGGGTGCGACTCCTGGCATGTTTGTGTCACAATTAATTAATTGTGCCCCATTGCATTCATGTATTGGAATTTGAATTGAGTCCGTCACACCCTCTAAGATGAGGTCAATGTTTTATATACAGTACAAGGAGTACACCTACATATGTTTTTCACTATATAAAAATCTACTTGTTATCTCCCTCAATTCAAAGCCCTTCAATGTTTTTTAACCTCCCGAGACCCAAGGAAAAAAGTGTCCTTCAGTTTTAGGTTAATTGTGATTTTCTATGTCTTTGGAGGAAATAAGACATCTCTTTTCAAATTTATTTTTAATTTCACAGCATGTCCTCTTTAGTGTACAACAGGAATAAATATGTTTCCTTACATCAGTGAAAAGATATTTGCAAAAACAAAATGTCCACTACAATGGACATAAATGAATGGGTGGGGTCTCAGGAGGTTAATGATCAAAACAGCACAAAATATGCACTGCTGCATATAATTCACAGAGCAATGTCTGTTTTGGTTGCACGCATGTGTTGCCTGTGTTTGGTGAGAATACTGGCCTCTGGTTCTTAACGTGGCAGAGTGACTTTTGTGCTCCAGGGTGCATGTAATAATCAGTGCCTTTCCAGGAAGTGCAGAGTCTGGTTATACTGGCTGGCAATGCACATACTGTAGGTGTGCCATTCTTTATAGTGTAGCAGCTGTCTCATCTGTTCCTCTTACTGTACACTGCTGTCATTCTGGGTGTTTTTAAAATGTGAAAATTATTATTATTATTATTATTATTCTTTTTTTGCATGGAGCAGCATACTATGAAACTGGCTTGTGATATTAAAAGCTGAGCGCTGAGCGGCCGGTGTTTCCCTTAAAAACGACTCTGGCTTTGTGTTCTGCACTCTGCTTCAGATGGCCCTACGCCAGAAGGAGGCCTGGCAGGCCACGGATCAAACCCTCTCAAAGACAGACAGAGTCACAGATTGATAATGGCAGGAAGCTGGCGAAGGGAACTTATAATATGGTTTTCTCAGCTCGAGGTGATAATGTCAAAGGGATTTTAAGTGCGTGGCGTCAGCCGTATAGCCGAAGCACAGAGCATTTGGACGACATCACAGGTTGATAGCATTGTGCTGGCATTGATGTATGACCCTGCTTGCTGTTTAGAGTTCATAAAGTCTCCTTAGATAAAATTAAAACGTGTGGCAGACTGGTGTTGCACCTACAGTACAGACATTTTGCAGGTAAACAGTTTCTTTTTGGTGTTTCTAGGAATATTTAATTCATGGCTGTCCACTTGAATAATTAACGCGAAATAATGGCATAATATTACATACAGCAAGGTAAACTATATTTTATATATTTCCATTCATATTCAATCCCTCCATCTGTTTTCTGTAATCACTTTTCCTATGTAGGGTGGTGGGGGTCTGGAGCCTGTCCCAGAGGTTGCAGGCACAAAGCAGGGAACAACCCAGAATGGGGCACCAACCCATATCAGTACATTCATATTATAAATTATTTTCATTAAAATTATATTATACATTTTAGTCATTCATTTGTACAGAAAAGTACTTTTACTGCAACTGACGCGCAAAGCAACACATCGTTTGGATGTGGTTTTTTAAAATATGATTTCCTCGTACCAGGCACAGGCAAAGGAATAGCAGACAGCACTTGTTTTGGATGCATATTAGCCCCTCATCAGAACCTCTGCCTCTAAAACTTGGTGTTAAGAGAACCCTGCCGCTCTGAGGGCCGTTATTCAGACCAGCATGTGGCACTCACCACTTTCGGGTGGTTACCGTGAATAATCGCAGCTGACTTGTACACCCACCTGAGGTGCGCTTTGCGTTGGCAGCCTGTCCAGCTCTGCTGGCATTCGGGAGCAGAGCTGAGCTGAAATGCGACCAGCTAAAGCTTCCCCTTAACTCAGGTGTAGAGCGGAGCGTGGCCAGGCTACACCTGCACCAGTTCACACTCGTATCCATTATTAAACTTCTGTTTGTCAGGCCAAGGAGCAGGGAGGGATGGGAGGGGCCCAGGCTGACAAACACACAGTGGTTTCCCTGGGATGCCACTGCAATGCATGTATCATTATGTCAAATTATGCACAATCCTGACAGTCTGCACTTTATCACTGTATACAGTTATTGCCGATACAAGGGGCTAGAGGCCTTAGACTAAGTCATAATGGACTGTTCACAGGCCTGGGCTGTATGGTGTGTGGCTCAGCGAGCTGAGCCTTTGTGTCTATAACCAGAAGGTTTCCAGTTCAAGCTCTGGCCTCAGCAGGACAGGGCCAGTGTCCATAGGCCCTAATGTAAGGCCTTTAACCCCCAGCTCCACTCCATGCTGTGACTCCCACGTTTGCTCTCACCTGTCTGGGTATCTCATGGAGTAGGCAAAAAGAGGTTTTTCTCACAGGGGTTAACAAAGTATCTCTGTTTTGCTCATGTAAAACAGGCGATGCATTTATTAGAGGATGCGTGGCTAGGAATTTAATTTGCAGCTTTTGTTTGTTTGTGCAATAACTTAAACTTTCAATGGCTGAACATCTGTGTTCTTGACATGAATTGGGTCCCTACAACTGACTTAAATAGATTTTGTTTATACGGCATAGGTGCTGCCATCAAGGTTTTCTGCTTTGTTTTGCTTAGAAAGCTGATTCCTGGGACAGAATTTAATCTCAGTGAATGTCAAAGACATGGCTGACACAGAGCTGTTTCTGTTTATTCATTAAATTACTTTAAAACAAAGCAGACAAGGGTAAACAAATAAAAACCTAAATCGTGATTGTATTTCCCCATTTCCTGCTTTCACATTCTGCATCTAATGTCCTTAAATTTAAAAATTAAATATCTGTTCCTTTCTCTGTTTTTCCTCTCTGTATTCTGGCAGTCATGCATAATCCTATTACCAGTATGGTGTTTGTATGCTTTTTATAAATATGGTTTAGATATGGTCTGCTCCCAAAAAACAAAACATGCTAACAACAACTGCAGGCTATTGACCTTGAGTATTTTCAAAAGCCCCTCAGCAATACCCGTTTTGCCTTTCATCAGATAGCTGGGCATACAGAACACTTTAATCTGTGCCATATTCAAGGTAAACACAACTGTACAATTGTTGCTTAAACAATATCTGGGCTTCCGATTTCACTCAATAGTTTAAGCCTCTGAGAAACTTTAAATGTCAAAAATAAACTGGCCTTGTCACACCTGGTTTGAAGGAAATTCCAGAGTGGTCCATTGTCTTTTTCTCTTTTTTTTGAATATCTGGATTCACTGTACTATTTCACTAAATTCTGGAATAAATGCTCTATAAACACCTTTCTTGAAATGTTTCAATAACTTGCTGTCAGTATGTTTGGTGTTGGATGTTAATAATAATAATAATAATAATGATAATAATAATAAAGAATAATCATTACCCACACCAGTTTGTGAAATCTTTGCTGTCTTTCTATTCCCATGTCCCACAGACTTAGAGAAGGACCCCCCAAAGGCGGAAGGGGGTGTGGTTTGGCGGGTGACGGGCGGCCTGTTCAACTTGACCAAGGGTGCTGTGGGAGCAACTTTGGGAGGTGTGGCCTGGGTGGGCAGCAAGAGCTTTGAGCTGACCAAGACCGCAGTGTGCAGCGTACCAGCCGCGGGTGTGGGCCTGGTCAAAGGAAGCGTCTCCGTGGTGACAGGAGGTGTGGGGGTGGTGGGCTCTGCGGTGGCCAGTAAAGTCACACCGAAGAAGAAGGACAAATCTGACTAGGATGCACTCCCTCTCCGGGGTGGGGTGGGGTTGGGGGACTTGTAAAGGTTGCTGCAAAATCTTTTTTTTCTGGGGGGAAAGGAGTGAGGAGATCGGGGAAGGGGGCAGAGTTTTCACTCTCCTGACATAGGACTAGGAAAGAGGCATCTCTGTGCTTCAGTGACACTTTCCATAGAAAGCAGAATGAAACAATTAATTCCATCTCAAAGTAATTTTCAGCAGACTGGCATTCAGCCTTGGACCAAATTAAAAGATAAAGGCCTGACATGATAGCACTTTATGCTCTATTCATCCCATCGTTTATCGGAATTGATTGACTAGTACAAACATTTCCAAGCCAGCCTTTCCATCTCCAACCCGAATTATTTAGGTGGGGTGCTGCCCTGCTTACTTTATATAATGTAGCGTCATATTGGAGTGGAAGTGCATTGCCTATTTTTAGCATGTATACAACAGCATGTGGTGAATTGAACTAAGCTGCTAAGAATATAAACAATGGTAATCATCTTCAAAATGGAAAACAGGTAATATGACCAAATCTAGGACCAAATCAGAACATGGTTCATAGTAAATATTAATAATAACAATACTGAATAAAGGCATTGGTGTTGTCTGTTTAATTGGTTGTTCTACAGTATGTGGACAGTTTTGAAATGATGTGAGCCCTCCAGGGAGTATGGACGGCATTTGATAGTAATGAGTAAGTTTTGCCCAAGCACAGCAAGTCAAACATCAGTAAGCAAACAGAATCAGGTAGATCAGCAGATTCCTGTCTTTTAAAGACAGGTTTCTGTTGTGTATTGTGTCATGTATCAAGATGTTCCTCATTTAGGGTTTTGAAGTTAAAAATAAGAATTTTCCCCTGTTTATTTTCATTTACTTTCTCTCAATTAAATTTCACACGTCTTTGAAACTGTTGGGTTTTTGTTCCCTGGCACATTTAAGCCTAATTTGACATAGTCTGACAGGGTTATTTAAAATACGTCTTAGTGCAGATATCCAGCAGCAATCCTACTTCAAAAGTTCATTTTCACTCATACTGGTTATTAAGTACAAGCACAGCAAACTTTAATATCTCTGAAGGGGAGTTCATGGAATTGGAGCTGGAATTTTGGGGCGTTACTTTATTTAACAGTGTTTGCTTTTCTTCCGCTATTTTGTGATTGTTTGCAAAACCACTGTGGAATCCATGTTAGTCACTATCATTAAAATTAATTGGCATGTGACCTTTTGTAGGAAGCACACTGGACAATGTTTACCCTGCGCAAAGGTGTCATTAACCAAAAACTGTACATAAATTTGTCCGTGTTGAGAGAGTAGAAACATTATGCTTTTCCCTAGTTCTAAGAGAAGCATGGACATAACATATTGTCCAGTGCTTCCCTCCTGTTGCTTTTCTGTCATGTTAGGCGTTACTGAAAATACGCTTTTCCATCTTATCACTATATACTGTTATGCTAATAAACAGACTTTTTCTCTTTACTTTTGAAGACAGGGACAGCAATTTCTATTCATTTTTACGCGTGTTAATTTTCACAAGCCACTGAGTTTTTCTTTGTAAAATGAACCTTTTAGCTAGCATGACAATTATCTAAACTGTGCATGATTTTAGGCAATAGGTTGCTTGCGTAACATTAGAGTTCTATCAGAAATGATATGTATTTAATTTACTGCATTTCTCTTGTCTTTTTTAAACATTCTGATAGGTATGTAATGTATTGGAAATTCTGTACTGTACTGTAAATCAAACTGAAGACATTTAGATTTTGTTTTATAGAACTATTTTTGCAAACTTGATGCTGTATTCGATAAATAAACTGTATTTAATGTTAAACTCTTTATTCATTTTCATTATATGCAAATCAATCCATCCTTTCAATAAATTAGCATCTCAGTAAACACATCAACACTCTTCTTTGCATTGAAATGTACTAAATGTAAAGAACCACCTTCCTTAATATTTAACATTTCTGAATAACTCTGCATACTCCTGCCCCTCTATATTTCATACTATATTTTGTTTCTTTGCATCTTCAAAGATGTTTTTGCGTCTTCCCTTTACATATAGCCCTTCCCCCACCAAGCTCACACTGGCTGCTGTCTTTCTGTCTGCTCATCAGCTGGATTTATTGCACCTCTGCTCTCTGGGCCTTTGTCCCTTGCCAGCTCTGGCAATGCCTTCCTGCTCCATCTCTCCACCCCTTCCTGGGGGTCTTTGTGATAAAGAACTGGCAGCAAAGCTGAAGAGGCTTCCACAGTATTTCCATTGACACACAGAACCTCGAACAGTGCAGCAGCATTAAGTTTAGAGCATTACGTATTAAGTACAGAGCATTATAAAGCATTAAGCCTTTGACATGCACCTTTGAGAAGTTCCTTGTACATACACTTCCTGCTATGTATTCACAAAAGCAGAGGTGAAAAATGGCCTGCCAATAAATCTCCGATGCACAGTGTTCCATCAACAGAAACTGTACGAGGAAATATGCATTGGGCTAGCTAGGTATCGTGAGAACAGGTAAAACACCTTGCCATAATAAACAATATGCTTTAGAATTAATTTGTGACAAGTGAAATTTGATAGACATGTTTGCCTTTTGGGTTTGTCTCTCACCATCTAAAGAGGAAGTGTAAGATCTTTCATAAACAGAATCTCAGTGTAAACGATAGTTGTAAACTAAGAAGTGTCGATAGATGACACAGATTTTGCAATTTCTTTCCATGACAGGAAAAAGAGATTATGAATGTAGATTTATAAATGTTAATGTTGTGTTTCATGCTGCATATCACAGTCTTTAATTAGGATCAGATTTGGTCCATCAAAGCTGTCAGAGACAGGCACACTCCAGTCATGCAAGACCAAGAACAAAAAATGTTGCTATCCATGGAAAAAGAATGATCATGAGAGACATTGGATAGTCAGAGAGAGGAGGATGCTGCCCAAATGCATCAGCTACCTTCTGTCACACAAGGTGCACTTTCCCACTTCTGTTTCCCAGACCAAGGCTCGCATAAATAAAACCATGAGTTTCCACCAGGACATCAATAGACCCTCAGTGCACAGTGCATTACCAAAGTTTGCTGCCAGCTCCAGCTGAAATGAAGTCATCATCAGCAAAGACTGTTCCTTTCCATTCATACAATAACTCTGCTGCTTAGTCATAAAGACGACTTTAAGAGATAAACAAGAGTGAATGTGTTTTCAGTGAACAATCCCTGGAATGCGGTGGGTCACATCTATCATTCAGAATACAGGAAATGCAGTGTCAGCGACTTCATAGGCGATGGACTACAAATGACAGAATCCAACCTTTGTACCAGGTGTGTATGAAATGACAGTCACTTTTTTTTGGAACATTTGAGTTGTCTATAGAGCGATTCATCCCGGAAGTCTTAAATAAACTCCCCAAATGTTCCAGTTCAAGGAATGTCAGACAAACCCATTCACGAGGCTCAGATGCCAGACTGGGGAGGCAGTGGTGTAGTAAAGTAATCAATTTTTACCACCACCCAGGTAGGCTTTCTACACAGATACGTAAGGGGCAGGGGGGTAGGGGACTGAGTTTCACTCGACAACATATAGAGACAAAAAGGGCAGAGAATACAGAAGCGATAAAGGTGTAAGAACCACTTCAATAGCAAGTGGGAATGCAGGACTTACGAAAAGTGGTTGTGGGTCACTGTCCACCTTTATGATACAAAGTAAAACTTCCTGATAAAAGGGGATTTATTAGCTTTCTTTGCTACAGTTCTCCCTCAATAGGCACTTTCTTAGTGTTTAATACTAGCAAGTGTAGTTACACACGCCTGACTTAGTTACTGTACGTTAAGAGTGAAGACAGGCCTGGGTGACTGAAAACGACAAGCACAGCACATACCTCACCTATACCTTGTTCCTTTAAACACAATCATATGACAAGCAGCACTGTTCTCCGCTTCTGAACGGCAACGGCAACCTGATACATACTGATAAACACGGTCTACCTTTGAACAGGGACTTTTTGTTTGTGCCAGACTTCTTGCCCACAGAATAGTGGACATCACGGGCCATTAAACGCAACTTAGCATGCATTTGGTTAAAAATAACTGAGGTTATAGTACAGTGAAAAAGCCTGAAAAAAATGTAAATGCACACAAAGCAGGACAGTGGTCTTATTTCTACCAATGTAATTTGTTACTGTAGAGTCACTTTGAGCTTTCATATTTTCATGTTTCAGAACTTTCAGAACTGAGCAATTACATAAAAGGACAAGAGAAATTAAGTATTCTGAAAGTGCTATGCCCACAATCATAATTACTTGAAAAGGTGAAAAGGATAATTTTTTATCGGCTAAAGATTTTAGGGGTCAAATTCAGGTTGCCATGCAACAGCTCTCATTCTCCAGTGTTACTTGTGTACCAAGAGAAAACAGGACGTGTCACATTCGGCTCTGTGCTAAATATTAAACATACAAAAAATGCAGTGTATACATACAAACATGTTGCAGTAACATTTACATTTAACATACTTAGCAGACGCCTTTGTCCAAATTACATACAAGTGAGGCAAAGATCATATTGCAAACATTCATGCTGCCAAGGAGTGAACTAGGTGTAAATGCAGCTAGGCTGAGCTTCCAGTCAATGACCAGGTGTGAGCAGTACTGGAACAGGAGCTACACAATAGCTACACAAAAACTATTAACGAAATAAGAACCAATTCAGACTATTTGAGGGCCAGTGAGCCCAACATAAGAGCATTCAAAGAACATTAAGAGGCATCAGGTTAGTAGAGGAATTCATGGAAAAATGACGTTAGTGGTACATTTTATCTGACATTTTTATCCAGATCAACTTAACGGTAGAGGGAAAGGTTACAGTTTATGCATGCTCCCAAAGATTTGAAGCTACAGCCTTTGCATTAGTAGCACAATGTTCTGCTTGATGAGTTACACTGTATGGGACAATTGAAAATTATAAATCTGAACCACCAGTGCAAACATTCAGTTCCTGTGTACAGTGAGACAATTAAACATCTAATGGACAAAAAAAGGCTATTGCAATAAAAGATGAACATATTTATTTCCTTAATGTACTGATGCTTTTATATTATCTGTAGGAAATGTAACATCTTCCAAAAATCACAGGCTTTAAAAAAGCAAACATCACGTTTTCTCTTTGTCATCTTCAAACTTCAAGTATCGCCCCCTCCCCCCAAAATAACTGGCTATTAATGTTAGACTGTAACATTCACATTTTTATTGCACAGTTGTTGTCGTACATTTCAGAAGTTCAGTCACAGGTAATAAGTACATTTCCTAACAATATTGTACTGTAGATCCAATTATTTCATATGGAGAAATGGCAACATTCACTTTTGTCAATGCAACAGCCAGCATACACTAATTTTTAAGAGGGACGGTGCTTTAGATTGGTTCATATCACTGAAGTAAACATAATGGTCTCTTAGAAATCACTAAACAATGATTGAAATCTGTAAACAGCATTATACGTTTAAATTTGTTGTGCTGTTCTTAAGTCGGGGTATCACCGAGATTCCTTCATGGTTTTCTATAGTGCAAATCTGAAAGAATTAAGGCAACATTTATAAATATATCAAAAATAGTTGTCCACAACTACGTTTGTTACAAAAATGGTACAAAAGTTCTGTCTTGCACAAGTGTGAGAGACATATTTTTGAGTTCCTCAGAGGAATTGACGGTCTTGTAACCCAGCCGATGTAGAACTTGTGGACACACAGTCTGTGTGTACTCAACCATGTCGTATGACAGTTTTAGCCTCCAGCTTTCAGCATTGGCCGCCGAGTCCCTCACTGTACCATACTTATGCTTTGCAGATAATTCATTGCTGCCTCGAGTGTTGATCTGTATCCATTTGATCACATTTTTGTCCATAGTCATGCCCAAGAATTGGTAAATCTCCTTGGTCTTTTCCAGCGGGTTCCTAGCTAAGTCCTCGTACCTCACCAGCATATATTTCCCTTTGAGCCAGTGCGGCCTGCTCAGGCCTGTGGAAACTGAATTGAGGAAATCCTCACAAACCACAGTCAGCTGGGTCAGATCCAAGTTATACGGTTTCCTACCTGTTGCCCTCCAGATCCGCCATAGTCGGTAGGTGTCCCGGAAAGTTTCAATCCTGGACGACAAGATACCCCGTGGGTCCCTCACCAGCTGGATGATCTTCAGGTTGAGTCGTGGATCTTCCACTAGGGCCTTCAAGTCTCCGATCTCTGGCACCCGCACAATCTTGATGGCAACATGTCGTCGCTCTTTGCACGAGTCAGTAGCTAGGGTCATGTTGAGTGTGCTGCATTTTTTGACGCAGTCACCTTCTTCAATGTTGACCTCGCTCGGACCAAAGACATCGCATACTGGCGGGGAGCAGAGAGCTTTACTGGCACCCCGGCGAAAGAGTTTATCTGTGGTGTGGTTTACCGGTGGAGGCTTGATGTAGCTTTCCAGGAAGTAGAGGTCACATCCATATAGGCTTCGCAATAGGTCCCTGCTGGCCCCCAACATTACCCTCCGGTCAGCTGTGCTTTTACTGTGTGAGAGGCGGGGAATAAGAGTTGTCTGTACGTGATATAAAGGCTCAAAAAGGTAGAACACATCTGAGTGTTGGTTAAAGAGCTGGCCCACAAATGAGGAGCCACTTCTGGTGGTGGCCAAGATGAGGATGTGGGTCTTTCTGGAGACATTATAAGTGAAGTAGGGATACTCATCACAGATACGCTCAAAGGCCTCCGTCTCCTGGCCCAGGCCACAGTTCAGAGGGTTTGGCACTGGGCAGATGTGAAAGGGCTTAGCTGTGAAAGTTCTGATTGCTGTGTACTGGATAGCTATGGATGCCAAGGCTAGCAGAATCACAGCCTTCCAGGAACATTGCATGGCTGAACTTCATTTAGACACTGCAGTCTGTTTTGATCCTGTCTGTGATGCAAAGAGGAAAAATGTGATTACTGTGCTACAAAGTAAACTAGGCACAGAACAGCCATTCATATTTTACAGTAAACAGAGGCAGGAGATGGCAAACAAACTTGCAGTCTGTTAACTTGCAGTCAAGTTAAACATGGGGCTTCAAGATTAAAATCACGGCCTATTCCGGGAGCAAGGAAGGACAGTAAATATCAATTTAACTTTGCAAAAATTATTGTATAAACTTCACAGTAGTTCACAAATATGAAATGCAACAGAAACATGACCTATTTAAGACAAAGCTATATTTTACCGCATCTGAGCAATTTGAAATATATAAGTAATAAAACAAAATCACCTTGTCTGCATTTTGTTTTTTTTTTTTTACAAACTGTCTCTCTGAAGGATTCATAGTAAAATACTGTAAAGTATAATACAACTTTATTCCTTCCATTACGTAATGAGAGAAGCATAATTTATTATCAACATCACCTATACAATGTTTAATATTTTGTTACATTATGATTTAAGCAAATGGGAAATATTGCATCAGAAGGGCACGGAGCATACACCACCGCCATTTGCGTTATTAAGGAAGTGTCCGACGATTATTTATATATTGTTTTAAGGGGAAATAAAAAATTGACCGGCATATCTAACATCCAGGCATTCCTACTATCTGAACAACATCCCGCACACGGCTGCAGCATCGCGTTTGGGGATGCGCGTAGATTTTATGATGTTGCTTTTCAATATTTAATGAAAGTCACCTTATGATGGGTGAGCATGCGAGGTAATATATTTTCATATAGGCTTAACATCCGCTCATATGGACAGTTAAATGCAGATTATATGCAAGACAAGTCAGAAAGACGATTTGCTTTCAGATGGTTTGCGCGAGCGTTTCTGTGTTGACAAAGTTACTTTTTGTCAGATTCCAACGACCCTAGGAAGGTGGAGAGTATATAATGCCGGCTGTAACTTAGAAATACCCGCTAAGAACTTGCGGCAAGTTCACGCACCTGTAGGAAAAGTGCGGGTATCACGTCGCGCGCGCACCCGTCGCCTGACACGAGACAGACGCACGTTCCGTACACAGATTAATGGCTCAGGCCGGGAAGAACTGATTTACTGCAGCGCAATACGAACCCATTTAATTTAAAACGAGATCGGGCTGCAAAATAATGCGGTAAATGAATAACAGCGTCTGCCTCTATTTTCACGGCCGATAAGCGCATCTCTATCCGCAGTAAAACGTGTTTTGCTCATTTAATCCGCAAACCTCAGTAACTGAATATACTTGCCTTATTGACGAATGTATTACAGAATCACAGGCGAGGACCACATAGAGGGACTGCAAATGCGCGGTTCAGTACAGTAGTTCCAGTCACAAAGGTTAGGTCCCATTTCCTCTAAAAGGAAAATCCATGGGAGGCATCTGCCCTGAATTCCCTCCTCTGCCATCTGAATAGCGAAGAGAGAAAAAGAAAAAATATCTCCACAGAGCAGAGCGCGCTGTTACTACTCAAAGGCGATCATGTTTGTAGAAGCTACTTGTCAAAATATAGGTAACTCTGGAGAAACTGAAAAGGAGACCACCGATCGTAGCATCTACGTCCACCAAGCAGATTTTCATAAATAATGTGCGTAGGTGGTAGAGTGTGAGGTATATGTTGAGCAGCCAGTTTGCTCAGCCTGGACCACCCCCAACCTCCACATCTCTCTCTGTCTCTCTCCGCTTCTCTCTCCGTTTCTCTCTCTCTCTCTTTGAAAATCTCTCCCTAGCTCCTCTCTTTCATTCGCTTCCGTCAGAGCGGCGTGCGCCTATGCGTCGTGATGTAGCATCCTTTGGCGAAATGTACCAAAAATAAATTGCAACCCGAATGCATCATTTTTGCATCATGCATTTTTATACTGGCCGCGAAGAAACGACTGAAAATCTTATAGTAGCGGCACGGAAAAGCGAACCAAATGTATCATTCTCATAATTTGTAATGTACTCATTTATGCATACTTTCCTTATAGCTCTATATAACACTGTTAACCGATCACCACAAAAGAAAAAAAAACATATACCGATTCTGTTTGAGATGTTGAGCATTGAAATTAAGTCAAGTATAGGTTCTGGCAATTACTGTAATTCTTATGACATTACTTTTGATTTAAGCTAAAATGTTTTTAAAGGAATGATTTTAGAAAGAACAGACATCGATGTCATTAAAATCGGTTTAGGTTTCCAGAAACACCACATGGCAAGTTGTCTGTTCTGAACATCTCCGGTTTTCTATGTCTAGAAAGTCTCATATCCCGATAATCGCAAAAATGTATATTGATACATAATTTCAGGACATTGCAACAGCGATAAGACATATGCTACTAAATAGCCAATAGCACCAGTTCAGGCAGAATGATGTTGAGCTTTTGCAGGATGTTGTGAAACAAACTTTGATAGTTAAGGGATTTAAATTTTATAATGAGGAGATATACATACTGTAGAAAACGGGAAATGTTCAGATCAGACAACTTAGTGGTGTCCCTGTAGGTTATTGAAAACATTATTATTTTGAGAATCACTCCTGAGAGAATAAAGAATCTATTTATATTTATGATCTATTACATTACATTGCAGTCATCCAGATGAGCTTGAAATTAAAAAACAAAATGTAAATGTTTCATACAGCAATATATATCTACAAAGTGTGGAAAATAAAATAATTTAAGTATCATTTATTACTATTTTTTGCATGTTTTGCATTTTTCTTTTTAGTATTAATGCCAAAAGCATAATTAAAATGAATAACTAGCCACTGGGAAAGCTTTTTAGAACACTGAGAAATTGATGTTTTTTAGTCAATGATGTTTTTGCTGTTAGCTTAAATAATAAATCATATCATAATTGCTGCATCATTCAATTCATTTTTCTATTGATTGGCAAATGGAAGTTCTTATTTTTAGTGAAAGAAATGGTTACCAGTTTATTTTGAAGTAACTGAATCGCAATAATAATAGCAGATACACGGCTGAATTGTATTAAGTTGGATGTCAGTTAGCAGTATGTGTTGGCTATAAAAGTGGTCTGACAATCAGTACGCTGAATTGTGAATTTCTAAAGCAAAATGAAGTAGCAGGGAATTCCAGTGAGCTTAAATAGTTGAGCCTGAGCCTGAATTGCAGGTGCCTGGAGAATAAAAACTAGGAAAATGATTTCATGTGGCAGGGAGAGTAGTGTTGAAAATGAACACAAATGAACACAGCGTTTGCCAAAAATGAAAAAAACGAACACCAAGGATCTACAAGGAGGAACAGCAATCACATTTTGATAGAGACAGACAGGCACTTAATGCAGTATTTGCTGAACATGGTACATTCTGAGCTTTGCATACCTGGAGTATTTTTTTTCATGGTTGCTGTTCCGTAATTGTTTGCATCCAAGAGATGAAGACTTATTATCTGGAATATTGGATGCTTGCTAAGTAGCAAAAGTTATATAGTCTTTTACTTTTTTACTTTCCTTAGATCAGTACAGGCTTACATTTAGAGAAATGTCTGTTGCCAAGTGTTAAACATAGTGATGGATCTGAAAAACTGGAAAAACCAGCTTTCATGACTGCTTTGCTTGAGCATATAACAGCCAAGGACTATGAAGCAATTTTGCTGGATGAGATGCACCCTAAGGCAACTACCCGATTCTCATATAGTGCTCCCATATTCCGAGATAATGTTTACTCCAGGATGACGATAACTGCCATCCATGGCCTCTCCTTTCAGCAGAAATAAACATTATAGAACCTTCATATGAAGTTTTGCAGCGTAGAGTGTGAAGCAGGTTTACAACATTTACATCTCATATATTCCTTGACGGTAGAGAGGCCTTCCTTCTTGAAGAACGGCTCAATAATCCACAACACACAGCTCATGGCTCATGTATGACAACATTCCAAGAATGATAGATGCTATACTCAAGACTAACAGTGGCCCTACCTCTGATTAGCTTCTTGAGATTTATGTATCAGTGTTTGCATTGTTTTGTCCACCGTCTATTTGTATTGTGTATATCCCCTCGTGTTTGTTTGTTTGTTTTTAATGTGCTCTATGCAGGTTTTTTTAATACCAGGAACATTTGACTTTTAAAACATGTTTGCTGTTAACTGTTTGCATTCAGAGAATCATTTTTATCTCAGTCTGAAACAATATTATCTGTATTCAAATTTAAATTGGTACTATTAATATAGGCTTCATATACAGTGGATTGTAATGTTAGGTATTTATATTGAAAGACTGTCATTGAAACTATGCAATAGAAACAACTTTCTGCCTTCTTAAATGTCCATGCCTATCATTCACTCCTGGTAGAAATATTTTAAAAAATGAAGGGAATGGACATGCGTCATCTTCCGTATTGGTATCATGTGGGCAGCACTGTGCATCCTATTCAGTTCAATTCAAAGTGAATTCAATTCAATTCAAAAAACTTTATTTGTCTCCAAGGGGCAATTAAGGCACACAGGACAGTTGAACAAAGACTCAGTGACGTAAAGTGCAACACTGATTACAGTGTTTAGAAGGTTCTGTGCAAAATTGCATTCAATCAGGTAGATGGGAACTGAGTAAATATGTAAAAGGGAGGGATTGTTAGTGGGCATGGGGGGGGGGGGTCAAGTGCAGAATGAATGACGGGTTCTAGTGCAGGAGACGCGGGGGAGGGAAGTCTGTGAATTGAGGTTTTTTTTTTTTTGGTTTTTAGTTGCTTTTTAGGTGGTTTTTATGGAATCTTTCATTGTAATAGCTTTGAAAAATATATCAATATATCTCTTCATCTACTTTATAAATATTATAATTAAAAAAGAAGGAACACCCCGGGTTTTAATACATTTTTGACAAATATGTCCCTTTTTGCTTTCTGAAATGTAGTTTTATTAATAGAAATACCAAAAGATTAAAGTATACTAGACAATTAAACTATTCAATAATTTTTCTAATTTTCTGTATTGCACACAAGAACGCACCCATTAATCATTAAATTCTTTTTTTTACTAACATACACATGTCCATCTATAATTTTTTTTTTTGTGTTTGTTTTTTTACTTGAATTGCATTTCAGTATAATAAGACCAGTGGACATGCCCTTGCTATTTTTAGTCATATTCTTCACCTTTTCAACACTTCTGTTTGTTTGCACCCGTTGTGTTAGGTTTCCTTGTTTGTATCCTAGTTTGATGCATTTCTTCAGAGACTACCTTTTACCCTGACCCCTCTCACTCTTTGACCTGTTGGAGTTTAACTTCTTGTTAAATTCACCATAGTGGCCTTTATCCACTGTCCAGTCATCTGATTCAGTGTTGCGTATCATTTAAACTGGGGGACCTTAATTCTGACAAGTTATCTGGCTAAGCAAGGAATCCTGCTTTCTGATACAGGCCCCATATTAATGAGATTTATATTTTGTAAACACAGTGCAACAAATACAGGTAGTTCTCGCTTTGTCACAGAGCAGCCCAAGGGATCCCCAATGATGTCACATGGGTAGTCCCAGTTACTATGCCCACACCTCTGGGGGAATCTCAGTCTGTCAGGATTGGCTGATTTTACCCTATCTACAGTACTTCTAGCCAGTGTTTCTCCCAGCTGTTTATTTGTATTGTCTAATTGACTTGGTTACACATTGGCAAATGCGAAATCTTCCTGGTTTTCCTGAGAATTCGAGTGTTCCTGTATCTGTCTGCCTGCCTACTGATCTCCTGACCCATTTCTGCCTTTAGAGCCCGAGACCTGTCCAGCCCTTCCAGCCAGCCTACACTCCTTGCCTGACCATCGCCCGTCCCTTGACTACCGATACCTGTTTTGCCCCGAGATCATTCCTGCACCTCACCTGACCTTCGCCTGCCTCACAACTTCAACTCTGTCTTGCATTTTGGATCCCATTCTGACTCTCTCTGGTTTTGATCTGGACTGTTTTTGAATACAATCTGTCTTGTGCCTCATTGAACCAACTCAGTGTACGAAAAGGCACATTACTGAGACATCAGCAGTCAGATATCTGTGGGGGAGTCCCTGGAATATCTCCATTTGGGTCTAACAGCACTGGCTTCGCAGGTACAGAGCATCCACCAATATCATGCCGCCGCTCCACCAACTCCACTGGTCAGTGAACCACGGATTCTACCCCACGGGCTGTACAACAGAGAACCAGGATCTTGCCAAGCCTATTTATCTCAGTGCTCTCTTGCCTTCGAGTTACAGCTGTGTGCCTTTCCTACTGAACGCTCTAAGGTTGCTTATATCATTACGGGTTTGACTGGCTCGGCTAGGGCATGGGTGACTACTGCCTGGGACATCATTTTGTAATACTCATAGGTTGTTTTATGAGGAAATTAAGTTTTTGATCGCTTGAAGAACAACAGGGAAGCTGTGTGCAAACTACAGTATTGCAGCTTCACCAAGCAAACCGGTCGGTGTTTCATTATATTATACAGTTTCAGATACTCTCCCTATCCTGTAGCTACAACGCATTTTACAATGGATTAGTGGAGGACATCAAGGATAAATTAATGGCTCATGAACTTCCTGAGTCCCTGCAAGGACTCAGAGTGATGCAGGAGGGAGAAACTCTCGTTCCCTGGTTCAGGGCACAGTCAACTCTTCAGATGACGGCCCTCAACCTTTGCAAGTCAAACAGATTCAACTCTCTCCGGCCAAGGGATAGCAGTGTCTCAACTCTAGGGCCCGTCTGTATTGCAGACGAGCAGAGTACTTCATTGATCA